GGGGGGAGCATCACAGGACCGGGCCTTGGGACGGCAGGGAGAGTAAATACTGCCCTGCCTACTGTGCTACCATGATTGCCGCTTGAGGTGGCAGTCTCGGTTGCCCTTATGGGCAGCAAGACCCTGATTATGTTGCATGGTGTAAAATGGCGATGTTTGGAACAGTCCTGTCAGAGTAACGACAAATCATGTACATTCTTCCATCTATCATGCACATGAAATTGTTGCACCCAATGCCATTTATCGCAGGGGTTTGTGCCGGAATTCTTAAAAGTCTGTTATTTCATCATCTAGACAATTTCACTCTATGGTGTTTGTCTATTGCTGTACCTAATCTATAGCACTGTTTTCTTTTGAAGCATTTACTTACTGAATGTTAGAAGTTACTTTACCTTCATTATTCCCAATATTTACAATACATCTCACTTATGTGACCCAGAGACAGCCAGCAGTAACTGTAAGGCACCGGAGGGAGCACTAAGCGGTAATGAAATTATATCTCCGGCATGTGATCACATTTGTACTTCACTCACATCATTCCCATGGTAAGGTTTATTGGCTTATTTAGTGGGATTCATTTACATTTATCTCTATAGAAATGAGAATTGAAATGGCTCAGAGAGAAATTACTGGTGCACCACCTGCTGGTAGCTGTAAATAATACACTGAGTGCTGGGCATGCTGGAAACAACACTTGATGTAATTATGTGTATCTGGGTTTAAGTTTAGTTTTCAGTGTAAATGTAATTGCAATAATTGATACAGTAGGTACGTCTATATAGTTCACATGTGCTGCTGCCCTAAGCACCTGAAAATTATGTTTATTTTCTGATGAGCCAAATTCTGAGCAAATCAAATCAAAGGTGACTACTGGAAAAAAAAAGAGAACCCGTCATCAATGGGTATGTGTAGTAATAGTATAGGTGGTAAGACATTTCTTGTAAAAACTGACCAACAGCTGTAGCAAACTGGCTCTGCCACAGAGTAGCCCAGAGTAGCCATTAGCCTGTCGTTTTATGCCGCTCGGTTTTGAGAGCATTCCCCCATATTCAATGACCTTGTGATACACAGTACATTAACTATAGAGGCATAGAAACAGAAGGTGCAGTTACTTTTATTCCTTTGTGGCAGGCTGACAGAAAATAGCATTACTTCTATTCCGAACTATTGGAATCAACTGAAATACAATTTTGACAGAATCTTTTTTTTTTTAAGTGACGCAGTCAAGTTTTAAGAAAACAAGAAATGTTCCTGCAGAGCTGTTATAATCACTTCTTCGGTGGCCAGTGCTGCAGTCTCCATAAGACTGTTTGGCATTCAACACTTAGGAGTGTTAATGTTAATGTCCTCATACTATGCCCTCATGGTTGCATCTTCTGAACCCAAGTTATTGAAGAGTCCTGTAGTGACATAGAGGTTGGAGGATGGAATCACAGCACACGGTGTGGGACAAGACATCTAACACACCCAGATGTGTCAAAAGCTTAAGAGTCTGGTAGGGGCTACAGTGCTGGAATGAAGGGGAGGTAGGAGACACTGGCCATCGGAGAATATTTTTTAAAGTATCTCTAAAGTTAATAAATTTGACATTCTTCCTATGGTCTAGCTAGAAATGTCTACACTGAAACATATTATATAAAAATGTATCATTACTAATCTTTTAAAATCAATTATACTTTGTTGGCCAATGGAACAACTTGTCTTTTTTAAATTAAAACAGGATTTAAGACTAAGCAGCCCACAAGAGTTCCCATAGGTCCAAATATATGTTAAGATTCATAAAGTCATCTGGTACAGGTCTGCTATAATTTTTTTTAACCTTTGCTAGAAATTAAACTACGGCTTTGTTATATTAAAATGTCTTGGGGTTGTCCATTATGGTATGGGTATTTCATTTCTTTCTTCAGGAACAGGAGCAAGAACACAAGGCTTATGAGTACTGCGGGCTACTGTGAAGCGACTCATCAGCAAGGCCTCATCATAACAAGGTGGGGTTTCAGGTCCCACTGTCGTCAGCTGAGGCGAAGGGCCATGAGAGTGTGACACAGCAAATATCCTGCGGGCAGCTGGGCCAAACACTGACTGCAGAGCTGTGGAGCAAAAGAAGATACAGGGTTTAAGAGAGGACACTTGGCATTATATCAACGTACTATTGATGTAATTTTATTGTAGCTTTAATTGTGCATTTTATATGAATATTCCTGCCAAAAGCTACATAAGCATATAGATTGTTAGAAGAAGTCAAGGAGGAGGTTAGCCAATGATTTACAAGTAATGATATTATATTATATATTGCTCCACCTTTATCCTTTTCCCTTACACACAGTGACAGTGTACCTTAGTATCTAGAACTCTAAAACCAAGCAGGAATGGTATTGCCTAGTTTCTGAATAGCATGCAAAATATGAACCCTTAAAACAAAAGCCTATTTTGTTTATTGAATTTACTGAATTTAAATCATCCACAAAATAAAATGAAATACAAAAAAAAAAAACCCTCCCAAAAATGACAAAAAAAGCAGCAATATGGTTGATTGCACACCAAGCTAGCAATCAGTATTAATGGGACCCTAACCTCTTCCTATGCAGCTTTCTTTATGCTCTCCTCATAACAGCTTCCAATTCACTGCCACTATGGCTGCTCTGTGCCCCCCCACCCACCCTTTATAGTGAGGGTGCTGGCAAAACCTTCAAATGGCCTTTCTAAGCCTGCTGCCCATCTACAGAAATTCTACCAGCAAATCTACTCATAAATTCACCAGGACCACAAATCTCAAACCCACAGGATTTGTCTCAAGCCCACAGTAGGGGCGAACTCAAGCCTCATCCCTATTACCTAGCTCTTCTGGATCAAAGTTATACACAAGGGTATAAAATAATGATTTGTGCATCTCCACTTTGCGATGAAAGTTAAAATATGTGGAAACCTTCTGTTTTAAGAATTCATATGCATGAATCCACCTTGTGGACAACAGATGATTCCAGAGCATTTTCTATAAAGGTTAACTGTATTTTTGAACATCACTCCCAAGCTATGCATTACTGTGCTAATGTCAAGTAATTATTTACACACAGTAGGTATTATGCATGTGATTATCTGAATCTATTTAATGCTGTTTAATTTTTCTATCCACTTAATATGATTATATATATTCACAGTCATGCAATACATATTAAACAGTGTCAACATATTAATCACTGATGACATGTCATCGTGGCACCTGCTGCTGCTGCATACATAAAATCCCCGCCTCATAACAGGGCAAGGAGCAGATAACAAATTATAGGACTCACAGGTCACAGTGCTCTGGATGGTGCTATCGTGGTCAAAGGCTATGACTGTGACTTCACAAGGTTGCTCTCCCCTCTCAGGGCAGCGCTGCTGTCTAAGATACCAGCACCGCAGGCAGGCACAGGTGATCCCAAACATTAGAAGCAGAACTCCTGCAGTGACAACAAGCCTGAGGCATGAGAAAAAAGAGAGTGAGATAGGCTCCCAGCAGTTAAAGTGGAACATCAACTAACAGCAGTTTTGGATAGACTGAAAAAAGATCAGAACTAGGAAAAAGCTCAGGTTCAGCCAAACCCAGGAGGAAGCTACTTTTGTGCTACCCAATCAGCTGTAGCCAGGGAATTCCCCACCTGCAGCTGCACATTAGCAACGAGTGGGATGCTGTTATATCACTGACCTTATAAGGCCACATGGCTATATTTGGTCAATGGGATTGACCTAATATGGCCATGTGGCCATATAAGTTCAATGACCTCAGCACAAGCATCCCGCCCCTTTGTTAATGTGTAGCTGTGGGGTTGGGATTGCCTTGGACGCAGCTGAGTCGGCTGGTGGCCCCATTTCAACTTAGCTCAACTTCAACTTCTTTTGGGTGTTTCTTTTTTTGGTTTCTATTACACAATTGTAGATATTCAATCCTCATCCCCCCCAGGAAAAAAGTAAGGGGTAACTCAATATATGAGAGTTGTTACTATAAGGCTCCAATAACACTTACACTTTATGTGATGTGCCTGCTTTCAAATGCAGTGGCTGTCACCTGATCATTAACTTGAATGGGTGACAGCTGCCACTTTTAAACAGCAGATTAGGGATTCCTGCTGCAGGAAATTACAAGTTCCTGACGCAGGTATCCCTAATCACACCTAAAATAAAGGTGTGAATGGGGCCTAACAAGAAGGTGTCCCACTGAACACACTTACGACCATGACAGCTTTCAAAAGTAGGACTTTGCCTCACTTTATGGAGATTACTTCTCTCTTCCTGTTTTTCTCTGGGACAGGAAGTGAGAGGAATCTGCTTAAAAGGCACACAACAATTGAAACCAAAAACTTTAATGCTGGCTATTAGACATGTGCAAAACAAAAAAAATTGTTTTCAGACGAAACAAATGAAAACGAAAAACGTTGTTATGTTGTTTCGGATTTGAAGGCAACGAGCCTCCGAATCCAAAACCACACACTGAAACTGCAGAACAAGCGACAGCCATATCGTCCACTGGCTCGTTCTGCGCATACGCGCCGCCATTTTGGAGTAGATCTTAGTATACACCAAGATGCCAGTGCCCGCAAGTACAAGTGCCACCATCTTGGTGTAGACCTAGATCTACTCCAAAATGGTGGCGTGCATGGGCGGAACGCGCCGGCGGCCGGTATGGCCGCTGCACATACAGTGTGTGACGTCACCGTCATGTGACATTATACGCTCCGCCTCCAAGATGGCGGCGGGCATGCGCAGAACACGCTGGTGGCCAATATGGCCGCCGGCGTGCTCTGAAAACAAATTAATGTATGCCCGAATATAATTTTAGTATATTCGGGCATATATTAAATTCCTTATTTTGGATTCGGACGAACTGCCGAATCAACTGATTTTCGTTGATTTGCAGGTTCATCCGAATGCACATGTCTACTGGCTATAAATCTACTGATTTACTCAAGATTAAATGTGGCAATTAGTTGTTTTTTTACTATTATTTAAATAAATTTCAACCAGAAGAGAAAACAACATTTGATTTTTCCTCATTCGCAGAACAGCTGGTTAATTTTCAAAGAACAAATGTACATGCAGTCTCACTGGGCGAATTGCTATGCAAATTTTCTTTATAAATAGACCCAAGAAAAACTTATGTAAAGATAATAACAACAAATGCCCTCTAAAACTCTAACGTTCACTACCCAAAATAGCAGATTTAATAACATTATTCCATAAAATGTTATAAGTTATTTTAGGGTCTTACCATATGTACCACTGATGTATCCAATCTGTCTTGGAGCAGCTGCAGCCAGAAGCAGAACAATATGTTTACATTTCCTTTGGTAGACACGGCAAATGATGTACAGAATCAGCAGAGGTGACTTTATCTACAGTACAGGAGTCCTTTGTTCTCCAGTCAAGTATGATTTTTAAATATACAAAGGAAATTAGTGCAAACACAAGAGAATATACAAATGTGTATAACACCCTGCTTAGACTATCACAAGGTCTGTAGTCTGTGACACAACATCATTTGTGTTTGATCATGCTGTCTGCATGTCACAAGTTATTTTCATGTAAACCTATTACAAAAATAAAATTGCTTAAGTGCTAAAAGTGACTTAATAACATGTAACTGCAGGGTCAGCATGTTCCATCAGATGTATGCCCAGGTGCTTTAGGAGCCCGAAACACAGGAAGTTTTATTATGCAAAGGTTGACTTTAAAAAAAAAAAGTCAAGCTCCAGCCCATTTATTCCTGTGCCTCACTAAGGTCATCGAACCCACCAGTGTAAGGGCTGCTTCAAACCTATGTGTGTGTAATTAACCACATTATTATGGGATTGGATGTGTGGTACAACAACATGCTGCATACGTGCATTGTAATTTGTTTTTCATGAAACCCCAATGCACATACATGGAGTAAACAAACACAAAGTTTTTCAGCAACACATGTAATAAAGAATAGATGCGTAGCCGTATAATGCACCGGAAAAAAAATTAAACGGATATGTTTTTTTATCTGGGGACATGAGTTGATGGTCCAATGAAAATAAATAGGCAATGCCCCCACAACATGCAGCGATGCACCAAACAACACGTGAACATGTGTGTATGTGTAAACAGGCAAAATTGGGTTTGTGGGCTTCAACTTACTCATCTTATGTCAGTTGTTGCTTTTATTTCACTCCCCATAATAACAAATAGCAAATTATTTTAACATGTTACTTTCAATGTATTATTAATGTGAATGATATTGTTCTATTTTATTTATTTTTACACATGCATTATTGGGTTGTCTATGTAGATGACTAGAGGGTACTCACTGTTTGGAGTTCTCACAATCAGAATCACATGATCCCTGACAAATCTGAAATACAACCATAACTAATCGTTACATATTTAGAGTGAACTCTACAGCCAGAGCAAATGTTGCATACATACTCTATGTGTAACATATGATACTGTATGTGTCCATTTAGGTCAAGATGTAATATGCCACTGTGGGTAGGTGACAGGAACACTTTAAAAACCTAGTGTAAGAGGTCACCTAGAAATATTAAAGGGATTCTCCTCCCATTACATGTTGTGTTGTAGCACTTAAGAAGAAAAGAAGAAAACTTGCCATAGCAAAAAAGTATTTTTCAGAGCAGCTGGTATTGGCTCACAGCAGCTCTATCCTTTTTATCCCCCACCTGCCCCTAGCGTGTACATTGGGGGTAGCACCAATGACGTTATGACCCAGCATATCACTGCTCTGCCCCTCAGTTTGCCTGGTGCACATTAGGTGGGGCAGAGGATGAGCAGGATGGAAATGACGTGTGTATCTTTCATGTGAGGAATGCTTATGTTGCATGAGCATTATAAGTAGGGTTGCCACCATTTCGTCTAGCGTAACCCAAACACTGTGCGGCACAGCAAATTTTTTGGGGAGAATATACAGAGAGAGCGAGGAGAGACAGCTAGAAGAGACAGCCAGGAGAGAGAGGGGAGACAGCAAGGGGAGAAAGCAAGGAGAGAACGCAAGGAGAGACAGCCGCGAGAGAGAGAAAGCTAGGGGAGAGAGGGGAGGGACAACCAGGGGAGAGAGCAAGGGGAGACAGCCAGGTGAGAGAGGGGAGGGACAGTCAAGAGAGAGTAAGGAGAGACAGTTAGGAGAGAGAGAGAGTGAGGAGAGACAGCCAGGGGAGAGAGCAAGGAGAGACAGCCAGGGGATGGGGAGGAGAGATAGCCAGGGGAGAGAGAGGAGAGACAGCCAGGGGAGAGAGAGGAGAGACAGCCAGCAGAGTGTGTCCTTCAAGACTTATCTGCACCCTGTGTTTCAGACACCTTCTTGCTCCCTGAGTTTCAGCATTCAGTGGAGGAGGCACGGGACATGGAGGGATGCTGGACCGGCAGGACCCTGTTGTTGCCCATGTCCACCTCACATCATGATATCAGAAAGAAGTAGCAGACGAGTAAATTGTAGGCTCACTCCAGTCAACAAAGTCAACTTAGTCCACTCAGTCAATATAGGAAATCCGTTGGCGCAAGTAAGCATAATTACAAATGGACGACCGATATCAAGGCAGAATAATAAAAATAGTGGGGAACAACAAAGTAATAAACTTTTGACCAATAACAAGACATGAATTAAATGTATGTACACCAACGCTAGAAGTCTGACAAATAAATTAGAAGAGCTTGAAATTATGCTACTCGAAGAGGACTTCGATATAGTAGGTATAGCGGAAACCTGGCTAGATAGCACGCATGATTGGGCCACTGATATAGAGGGGTACAATCTGTTCAGGAGGGACAGATGTGGGAGAGGGGGGGGTTGCATTTAGCCAAAAAATTATCTAAATATGCATATAAGGGACGATATCGCGTCAAATAATGGGGAAGACGTGGAAACCTTATGGCTGGAGCTAGATATGGCAGACAAAAGCCGTAAACTTATTGTGGGTATTGGCTATAAACCTCCAAATATAGGGGAGGAGGGGGAAACCAACCTACACTCCCAGATAGAAATAGCTAGGAGGGAGGGTAATGTAGTCGTGATGGGAGACTTCAATTACCCAGACATAAATTGGACCAATGGTACCTCAGGTTCGGCAAAAGCAGGACGATTTCTGAACATGTTGTGGGACAATTTCATGGACCAGATGGTGGAGGTTCCTACTAGGAAAAATGCCATCCTAGATTTAATTGTCACTAATAATGCAGAGTTAATTGAGGATATTGTAGTTGGGGAGACACTGGGTAATAGTGATCACACTTTTAATATTGAATACGGACAAGAACTCTAAATTTCAGAAGGGCCAACTTTGATAAGCTGCGCAACCTAGTGGGGGAAATAAAATGGAAAAACTTATTTCACAACCTAAACAAAGACCAGATGTGGGACTGTTTTAAGAACACACTACTTACTGCTATTTCAAAGAGTATACCTTTGGGTAGCAAAAGATCAAAGGCTAAACCTATATGGCTAAATATAACTGTAAAACAACACGTCAAGGACAAGAGAGTGGCATTTATAAAATATAAAATGGAGGGGACAGCATTGGCGTTCCTTAACTACAAAGAATGTAATAAAAAATTCAAACTAGTAATCCGGGAAGCTAAAATAGAGTGCAAAAAGCATATCGCCACAGTTAGTAAAAAGAACCCAAAAAAATTCTACCAATACATTAACGGTAAAAAGGTGAGGAAGGAGCAGATAGGCCCAATAAAGGACGAAAGCGGGAACCTAGTCACAAATGACAAGGAGAGGGCTGAGGCGCTGAACACTTTTTTCTCCTCAGTATACACTCAGGAGGAAACGGGTTTGACATACATGATAAAACTCATAGTTTAACTCAAAATATACCCCAGTGGTTGATGGAAACTGGGATACAACAAAGACTTAAACTGCTTAATGCAAACAAAGCAGTGGTTCCGGATAACCTGCACCCCAAGGTACTTAAGGAGCTAAGCCAGGTTATAACTAGACCATTATTCCTCATTTTTAAGGATTCCTTAATGACTGGTATAGTGCCAAGTGATTGGCGGAGGGCTACGGTAGTTCCAATATTCAAAAAGGGGGCAAGATGCCAACCTGGGAACTATAGGCCGGTCAATCTAACATAGGTAGTTTGTAAACTGCTAGAGGTAATAATTAAGGACTATTTGGTAGAATTTGTTAAGGATAAGGGCATAGTTAATGACAATCAGCATGGATTCAGGAAAGACCGTTCCTGCCTGACTAACTTGCTAACTTTTTATGAGGGGGTAAGTAGAGATATGGATGGAGGGAGGTCGGTAGATGTGATATATCTGGATTTCTTTGATACGGTACCACATAAACGCTTACTACACAAGCTGAGATCTATGGGCATAGATGAAGTGTTGTGTACATGCATAGAGAACTGGCTACAGGATCGTGTCCAGAGGGTATCTATAAATGGCACCTTTTCGGACTGGGCTAGTGTAATGAACGGTGTGCCTCAGGGTTCGGTGCTGGGTCCCATACTGTTCAACCTATTTATTAATGATATCGGGGAGGGAGTGAATAGCCATGTTTCAGTGTTTGCAGATGATACAAAAGTAGGGAGGGTTTTAGAAACAGACCTAGACAGTATAACCTTACAGGAGGATCTGGATAAAATAGGGGAATGGGCAGATGAGGTTTAATGTCGATAAATGCAAAGTAATGCACTTTGGAAATAAAAATAAACAAATGGGCAATACCATCATGGGTATGCCACTAGGGAAGTCAGAAATAGAAAAAGATTTCTTCATGCGACATTGGCCCATGTAGGAATCAGAGGCCCCTTTGCTCAGGCAATACGGTCCTTATATACTATTCCCTCGGCCTCTATTAAACTTCAATCGGCTACGTCAGCGCCTTTTCAGATAAGCAATGGAACAAGGCAGGGTTGCCCCCTATCCCCTCTCTTATTTACATTATCCATTGAACCTCTCGCGGCCCACATTCGTGGGTCACGAGATATATCAGGCATACGGATAGGCGGACAGGAGTTTAAAATAGCACTGTTCGTAGACGATGTTATTCTTACACTGACGAAACCTTTACTATCATTACCATATCTACAAGAAGCGCTCCATCTATATTCGATGGTGTCCGGGTACAAACTAAACGCAAGTAAAACCGAAGTTCTACCGTTAAATGTAGGTCAGGGGACCCTGGCCTCGTTACAAACCTCTTTTCCATATACCTGGAAGAGTGATACCCTGAAATACCTGGGCATCTACCTTACACCCAAGTCAAGCTCCCTATACACAGCCAATTATAAACCACTATTTCAGTCCCTACGGTCACAGATGAAGAGGTGGCTTTCATTAAAACTGTCCTTTACGGGTAGACATACATCAATAAAAATGACATTGCTACCTAAACTTTTGTACCACTTTAGCACTTTGCCGGTTAAGATACCGGCATCAGACCTAAAGTCCTTTCAGAGTGATGTACTGAACTTTGTTTGGGATGGTAAAAGACATAGGGTTGCTCAAAGAATACTATATGCTTCAGGAGCGAAAGGGGGACAGGCACTACCACATTTATTCCATTATTATTACGCAGCTCAATTACGCGTCATACCAACACTTACGAGGAGTGAACCCTCCACTAGCTGGGCGGAGATTGAGGGGTTGCGGCTGCAACCAATACATCCAAACGCCCTACTGTGGTCTTGTCCAATACACTTCCCACGTAGCAAATTGTTGTCCTCCATGGCTCTTCTGCTGGATATCTGGAACAAAATTAAATTCTCCCTAGGGTTAACGACGAGCCGATCGTCCTTGACGTCTTTTATACGGAACCCCAAACTGCCCTCTGGCATGTTACATGACTGGATAGCAATGTGGCAAGCCAGGGGTATGTTCCATGTTAAGGATATTCTAGACGTAGTATCGCTTAAACTATTACCCTATGAACAGCTGCGAGAACGACATAACCTTCCCTCACGTGCTCTTTACTCTTATCTACAAATCAAACACTTTATGCAATCTATTTCACCCAATTTAGTATTCCCTAAGCGAACGCAATTTGAAGTAGTGTGCTCCACTGATCAATCCTCGAGGGGGTTGATATCCTTCATATATAGGTTACTGAATGATGGTAATCAAGACGGTCTAACTTATCAACCATATATGACAAAGTGGGATAGAGACTAAGGGTTCGCAGTAACTCCACAGCAATGGGAACTTATATGGCGCTCAGCCGCCAAGACCTCAATATGTTCAGTATATAGGGAAAACCTATATAAAATATTATACCATTGGTACTACACACCTGAGGTGCTACACTCCATATACCCATCAACGTCCCCAAATTGCTGGAGATGTGACATTGACATACATGACACACTCGAACATGTAACTGGTCACTCACTTCCTCTAGCTCCTATACACTACTTTTTAAGCCTCCCATTTCAACAATTATCGAAAACTGATAAAAAACTGGCTATGCATATACTAACTGCAGCAAGATGCTTGATATCAGTACAATGGAAAAGACAACTTCCACCTTCTAGAACTGAGCTATTTGCTCGCGTTAAAGAGGTCCAGTCCATGGAATATCTGACTGCGAGGCTTAACAAAACCCTAACAGCACACAAGGGAGTTTGGAGTGCTTGGATGTTAGAAGAAGACCACTTAGGGGATACATAATTGTAAGATAAAATACGTGTAGGAATAGATGAGGGTAGTGGATAACCCAGGAGTTCATATCGACAAAGACTACAGGAAAAGGAACGTCCAGACCCGAACCATTACTTTATTGTTATTTTATTGAAACTATACAGAGGAATGTGGCAGTTCAATTTTGTTCTTCTCCTACTTTTCTACTTTCTATATACTTGCTTTCTTAATTTCTCCTGAATTTTGATGCAAACTTGTTACGCAAATACGACTACCAGGCCGACCGGATGTGGGAACTTACCAGCAGTACATAAATATAGCAGTCATGAGAATACATGGTTAGACATATTAGCTGTGAATAAGTAGCTACATTGGCGCTGATTTAATACGTTATAGTCAAAATGTTATGCGCATCAGCATCCAAGGTGTGTCTATTCCTTATATTTGTTTTGTTTAGACAAGATCCCACCGGAGGTCTGGCTGTGTTTTATCATAATGTCACGACGATGTGTGTATCACCTTTATCTGAAAAACGTAATAAAAATTGTCAATAAAAAAAAAAAAAAGAAATAGAAAAAGATTTGGGGGTCATTGTGGACCACAAACTGAATGGTAGCTTGCAGTGCCAGGCTGCTGTAAACAAAGCTAGTAGGGTCTTGTCCTGTATTAAGAAGGGAATGTACTGCAGAGACAAGTCTATAATTGTGCCACTTTATCAATCATTGGTTCGGCCCCACCTGGAGTACGCGGTCCAGTTTTGGTCACCAGTACTAAGAAAAGATGTCCTTGAGCTGGAGAGAGTCCAGCGGAGGGAAACCAAACTAATTAGGGGAATGGAGGACCAGAGCTATGAGACGAGGCTACTGAATTTAAACATGTTCACGTTGGAAGTAATGAGATTAAGAGGGGATATGATTTTCATGTGCAAGATGTTCAATGGGGACAGCAACAAACTCTTTAAAATTAACTCCATTACAAAAACTAGAGGTCACCACCTAAAATTTGTGGAAAAAAAAATTCCAGCACAAGGGGCGAAGGGGGTTCTTCACAGTAAGAGCGGTTAGGGTCTGGAACTCACTGCCACAGGCAGTGATTTCAGCTAAGAGTGTGGAATTGTTCAAGAAACGTTTGGACGATTTCTTAAGTGACCTTAATATACAGGGGTACAAGTACTCCTAAGCATGAGATGATCCTATATAGGTTGGACTTGATGGACTGATGTCTTTATTCAACCTCAAATACTATGTAACTATGTAACTATGATATCTTGAATCCAGGTTTCAGCTGGCCTGAAACCTGGACACAGCATATACAAGACTCAAAACCCAGACTGTCAGGGTGAATCCAAGACAGCTGGCATCCATAATTATTAGCTACTTAGAACAAAGGGAATATGGTCCTATGTGCTTTTTTAGTCCTAATGCTGGCACATCAGGGAGAAAATGAGAGCAGTCGGACATGCTGTTCTCAACCCTTTGATCACCTTCTACTTCTTGATCTGGCTGTATGAACTGATATTGTTTCTTTTTTAAGGTGTCTCCTAAACTCATGACATTTATATATAAAGGAGCTCTTTGTCGGTCTTTTCAATGACGAGCTTCCAGCAATGTGAGAAAGAAAATCTCTATCTACAGAGAGAAGTATCCAGCTACAGCAAGAACAGCTCAGCTTGTTTTCCATGCTTTCTATAATTTGTCTACTGGGAGGAGTGTCAAATGGTGAATAAAACCTTGATATTTGAGAGCAAGGTCTCTAGTTATAGCTGGATCTTTGTATAATTCACAATAATGTTCAGAGCAGTGCAAAGTAAGAAAAACAAAAGTAAGATTACTTGACATAAAACACAACCATAAACCACTGGACAAATATAACATCGATGGGAAAAAAAATATAAATATGTACCTGCAATGTAACACATAATAAGCATAGGGGTAATATTTATATTAGAAAGTAAACAAATGTTTATTTAAACACATATTTCGGTTTTGAAAATAAGCATACAAATATATGAGAGAACAGCAATACAAAAAAAAAAAAAGAAACCTAGCCAATGATATTGTGCAGACTAGATCTATGTTACTACAATGTATGTACTTTGATAAAACCTGTCCTTCCCACACACTATTTATCACTACACAATTCTGTCGCATAGTGCATAGTACTAATGCATTTAATATGTCCACTGTTAGGAGTGACATCACCCCAATATAAATCAGGAGCACCCCAAAAAAGAAGCAGGTTAATGGGTATGCGTGTCACAGGAGCCTCAATGCCCTGCAGATTCTTCAGGCACTATTCTTCCAAGTGTACAATGAGGTGAGTACATCTCTAAACCTATGTGTATATTGATCCTCTTATGCACCCTTTAGCTGATGGAGCCTGGGAAGAGCTAGGTGACATTAGAAACAAGCACTAAATGCCCTATTTTAAAGTCGGTATAGATTTAAGCAAGCTTGTTACTCCTTCCGGGTTCAGATGAGCTCTGGTTCGGCCCGAACCTAAGCTGATCCCTACTCAGAATGCACTGAAGCCATTGGATCTGCATGGCAGCCAGGCAACTAGCAGATGTTAGAAGAGGCAGGCTACATATTTGCCTCAGTTGAGGTTTATAATGACCACTGTTGGCATACCGTAACATCTGTTTGTTATGTAATATTGTGTGTGTTCCAAAAGCTGCAATTGTAAATGTATGATATTGTTAAATGTGCTGCTGTTATTATAGTATTTGCTGATAATGTTCCTTGTGCAAATATTCTGTGTTAGACATTACCAGATAGAGTCCAGTGACCACAGACAATGCAATCTGTCCTCTCATGTTACTGCACCGCATAAAACCTGAATGAGGAAACATATATGTTGTAAAGATAGTAAGTGTATTTGTTGTATCTAGTTCTGTTTCATATTATTACAGTTACATTTCTGAGTATAATAAATCAAGCACGGGAACGCATAAAAGAAAAGTCCAAAGAAAAACAGTATACTGTATAAGTGTTTTGTTAATAATGGAGAGCTAAAGAGACACACTGACCATTCTGGTCAAAGTGACAGAGTCTTTTTAAAGCCTGCTCCATGATAAGTTGATGGGGGTGTACTAGCAAGGGACATTTTGGCATGAATGGTACAATATGCCCTCTTTAAGCCACCAGTTTCCAATATCTCTTGGGCTCCATTGACATGGGGACTCCTGACACGTTCTGAGATTCCTGCAGCAAGAACTTAGGGATTCCTGCAGCAGGAATCCAAGGTGTTCCCGTTCAGAATTAATTAAATCACTGTGTGACAGTGGCTGCATCCGTCAGTGGCAGTCCACATGTAATCACACATAGTACGATTATATGCGGTTTGGGATAGATGATTGTAGCTGGACACAGGATAGATGCATCCAGGGACAACCATCTATTTCAAACCACATGTAATAGTTCCATGTACGATTACATGTGGACTGCCACTGACAGATGTGACTTCTGTTACTGCTGTTACCCTGTTGTTTACTTCAATGTGTACAGCAGCCACATCTGAACCGGGACATCGGGCATTCCTGCCACAAGAATCCACAGGCTCCTGCAGCGGAAATGCCAGAACGTCCCATGTGAATGGAGCCTTAGAGACTTCCAGGTCTGTACACTTGCAACTAACATTGTGATGAGATCCCCTGTCACTCTTACATTTTAAGTTACGTTTAAACTATTATATATAAATTTAGAGAGATGATTTAGGAAATATTAAAGGAGACCTCACTGCTGGAGACTTCAAAAATACAAAAGGCCAATGGAGGTCTACCAGATTCCATAAATAACTGAAATATAATGGAGGGAATTTATTATAGTGCAAATGACAGTGATTTGCAGTAACCTATAGCTGCTACATATAGAAATTAGTTTTCTTTATGCAGGTGACATAAAAGAGTATTTAAACCTAAAAACAAAAATTGAATATAATGCATCTTACCAGTCCCTAGATGTGTTGGCTGCTTTAGTTTTCACTTTTCAGGATATGATCAGGAAGTACAAAAATACCCAGAAATATGTCTTTGTTATTTCCTGTGAACTAAAACAAAAGTACAAAAATACTTATCTGTTTTGTATAAACTACTAGTCCAATCAATTATTGTAATGGAGGTGATCAAAGTCTAGCTTGTGTGACAGTCATGGCTCCCTCCATAGATACAGTGGAGAAATGAGTGTGAAGGGACAGGAAGTTCGTAATTTGCAGGATTGGCAGCTGATAATACAAGCAAAAAGCCTTAAAAAAAGAGATCAAATGCGGCCACCACATCTAGTGGCTGGTAAGCTGCAATATAATAAATTTTTGTTTTGGGGTATAGATATGCTTTAATATCCATTGCTAGTTAATAGTCTAGTGTGTAGTCTAGTGTGTCCTGCAGCAACTGTGGGTCACTTTGATAAGAGTACCAATGTAAGTTGAAAAATACCTGAGTCATCTTAAAAGAATATTTTACTGAGAGAAATATGCAGGCTGCCATCTCCGATTTGATTGATCCTCGAGAAGGAGGGTGTGAAGTGCCCACCTGACCTACAAAAAAATGGTACCTACTCTATAATCTCTCCCCCTTTCCTTGATCCCCAGGACATGCTAGCCTCTCTGTATACTGTCTACACCCCCCTGTGTAACAGCCTACCCCCCTTAACCACCCTATTTCCCTTTATATAGTTCTTTACTTCTGGGCTCAGCCCCCCAGAATTAAACCAAAGTTGATTGTTCTATTGGATTGCGGTCCATAACGCCAACGGCTCTAATAGGTTAGTCCCTCCTAGTTATTGCAATTCAACTTAGCTTATCTCCATAACACTGTCCGACTGCTTTGATGTTCCCTCCTGGCTGCTGAGTCAACATAACTACATAAGCTTGTTTCCTGTTTTGTTGTAATGTTTTTTTGAAAATATTAAACCTTTTGTGAAAAGAAAATGTTGTTTTCCTCTAGATGTCCCACTGATCCACTTTCATTACTTTCTTAGTCACTGACATGGGACAGGTAGCCATATTTCCCTTAGCACAGGTTTCTTTTAACCACTTCAAGACCAGGTGTTTAGACCCCCTTCCTGGCCAGGCCATTTTTCATATCTGAGATAGACATAGAAAGTATTTATTAGTGACCTGTAGCTACACTGTTTTTCAAAAGCATCTGACGATGTCATTGGACATTTATAGACACCAGTGGTGTATATCTCTTGATACCTGAGACAGTCACTACATTGAAGAGTGAGGAGTCAGCATTTACTGGCACAAAGGAGGCAAGTACAACATAAAAAAGTAAACCCTGCAATTAGACCCCCAAATTATATAATGAGGGTCTTAAAAGATGGAAAAGCCATTAAAAGACCCTTCACATACTATATCTGATACTCACATACATTACATAGATGACTGTATTGTATAATCAAGCTATTGGCTGACAATTTAGAACAGAGTTTAAAAACATAAAAGCAGAAATTGGTATAATACGTGTAAATAGCAAACTGTTCATTTCAGTTGTTCTCACCTGTAGTCTTCGGCTCTGTCTTTTCTTGAAGTCTTGCCAGAAGACCCTGCACTTATTATTTCATTTTGGAAAAAGATGGTGAGCAGAGGACCTCTCTGTCTTGCTTTTGGACTATTAGTGAACGCTACCTAACTTCTAAATCACTTTTTTTCCCAGTGCATAAGGGAGGGCTCAGATCATGGCATTCCAAAGGGGTGGTAGTAGGGTGGTTTCCTTAATATAGTCTTGGATTTATGGCTCTTCCTCTCGGCCCACCCATTCGAAATCATCATCCTTGCCATCCCGTTGTAAAATATAAAAACATAAGCATATCAGTAACCTTTTCATTTCTAGCTGTCTCATATTAAGCATCTGCTACTTTAAAGAAACAGAATGTATTACTAATATTGTTGGTCCGTTTTAGAGGGGCAGCCATGCAAACACATTTGTAATTGTTTTCTTTACTTAGGCATTTTAATGTGTGTTTTACATGTTCCTTCATGTAAGCAAGAGCCCTGAGGCGGTTGCAGTGGGTGAAATCCAATGGATAAGTAGAGCAGCTTAAAGATACAAATGTTAATATTAACAGAGGGCACAATAAAATTACTCATGTGGAACCACTAAAAATTAAAAACAAAAGAGGAAAAAAGAGTCACAAAGGTCAATGAAGGGCATGGTTAAAATCAAAGTATTAACCTTGTAATAACTATGATGTTTTCTAAAGCAAACAGTAAAGCAATGGGACATAATTAGATGAATATAATCTCTATCTAAAAAATGTATAAACAAAATGTAACCATGGAACACGCTTAAAAAAAATAGGGATATCAGATACTCATTTCAGATGTTAAAGTGACACTGAACTAGGGCCTTGTTCATAGCGAATGCGGTGCGTTCCAGAGCGGTAGCTTCTGGAACGCACTCCAATCCATTGGCAAAACTTCCACCTGAGTTCTGGGGTGGGAGGGGGCATGGTGGTGCATTGAATAAAATGGTGCCGCTTCCACGCATCCCCCCGCCTGCAGTGCGATCGGACGCAGACAAAACTTTGCCTGCGTTCCGTTCCACTGCAAACGCGAAAAATAGAGCAATGCTCTGGAACGCACCACATCCACATTCGGTGTGAGCAAGCCCTCAGGAGTTTACATAAAAATGCATTCATGTACCTCAACTATCAACAAAAATGTATCTTATTTGTGTATCACTTGTCTATAGATCCTCACATCCTCTCTGAATTGGTGCTGACACAGTCCTTGTTTCTGGAGGGTGACTACTTTTGTTCCCCATGGTCCCTCTATGTGTTGTAAAGTAGCCATCGCTCCAAGCTCGCTCCTGTGATGGACTACAATCTCAAAACAAATTAGTAAACTAAACATGAGAGTGTAGTCCATCATGGGAGCGAGATTCCCATTCTTTTTGACTGACAATAGCTTACATAGAAGTCCTTCAGAGGGTCATAATTTTATGAATGCACTGAATTATAATTTTGACTGATTCGATAATTACTAGAGCGTGAAGATTTGTGAAAATGCTTTACAGATCCATCATAGGTAGATACTTTCCACAGTGATGGCAAGCTGCCCCTTAATATCTTACCTAACCTTATTGTCAAATAATATCCTGCAAGGATAAAATGGTGAAAAATACAGCATGGATATGACACTTTATTCTTAAACACCAAGTGCTTTGAACAATGCAGATACAGAACCTGAGTCATAAGGAAAGAAGCTGGTGGGGGGCAGAGCACTGAAAGTTGGCTGACCAGTAAAAGAAGCATCACACATTATAGGTCAAAAGGTGAAGACATTAGGCTTTGTTTGTAAAAAGAAAAAGTCTAGATCCCAAAAACCACTTGTAAAAAATAACAAGCATGTAAATTACATGCCTGGGAGATGCCCCTTAACTGTATGTTACAGGCAGTACAATTTCTATGGACTTCATCAGTGACACCATATTCTGGCATCATATTTTGTATGTTTTATTGATGTTTTAACTTTTACATTTAGCTTGACTTACATACGGCAGCAACACCCCAATTTGGTTCATTTTAATCTGAAGGCTTTTTTGGGTCTTTTTGACTGCAACACCTGATTTTTGATCATATGGTAAATAGAATTCAATTTGACCAAAGTAGCACCCACAACAGATCTAAAAGCTATAGGAAGGGGTGCATTGAAAAGTAATACAGCTAAAGCCCTCAAATTGTTACAAATTGCCCAGTGGCCAGTTTGATAGTTTTGCTTTGAACCTATTCCAAGCTAGGTTAACACCTGGCCGTGCGGCAATCCTGTGGCAATCATGCACAAAACCCCGCAGATTGCCGCGCGGTCACGGAGTCGCCCACCACAGCCGATCGCGCTGTAGGTGCCATTATTTTCTCTCTACTCTCTTTTCCTGTCACTAAGATTTTTTATCAGCACATGTGCATGAAGGGCATTTGATTGGTCCCTTCCCTCTTGCTGTGTGAGAACTGAATTAAGAAGGGTTCAAAGCTACTGAAATTAAAGTAACATTTAGGTATTTACACTAGTTGCATTGAAAAATAAATTTAACATGGATGCACAACCCTGGACAAAGATAGCCTGCGTCCAAAGTTGTACGTTCATGTGCATGAGTGAGTGTATGGAAGTACCGGTGTATACCCACCTACAGCCACTTAAAAGCATTGTCTTATATAGGAGGCTATACAAAGGATCTGCGGCTCACTGGTGGGGTAAATATGGCTGAATTTACATTGTACAGGTACAGACATCCATTTGCATGAGCCCTTAAACCAGGGGTAGGCAAACTTGGCACTCCAGCTGTGGTAAAACTAGAAAGCCCCTCATGCGTCTGCCTCTGGAAGTTATACCTGTTGCTGTCAGAGTCTTGCAATGGTTCATGGGATGTGTAGTTGCACAACAGCTGGAGTGCCAATGTTGCCCATCCCTTGGACAGAAAAGTAACTCTGCCCTTACCCAGCCCTAAAGACTGAATTAATCAAGTTGTAGATAAGCCACATGTGTGGCCATCTATAATATAGACATATAGCAAGCAATGTTGTGGGACACTGCAACCCTGGTCTGTGTGTACAAGTGCATCTATTATGCACAGCCTAGTAATAACAATAATGTCATTATCTGTCCATATGTGGGCAAATATTTCCATTCTGAAGAGTTTTTTTGATCACCAGTCCTAGTGCGACCTCATAAATAGTGTAAACAAATGAATAGGATAGTATGTTTTGGAGAACAGAGAAAGAAGAAGAGAGAAGGAAAGCCGGAGGAAGAAAGACAGAGTGAAAGTTGCAGAGGATAAGAGATGAAGAGTAAGCATAGAGAGTGAGACTCCATGGGAGACAATACAAACAAGTAGACTGTCAGCATATGTACATTTACAGGGTTATTCACAAAAGGGTGAAGAGTTTGGAGAAGGCAGCAGAAGGGAACAATATAGGACAACACAGCAGAACTGGAAAGTGAGCTGAATTGTAGATTTTTTCCAAATCAGCTATGTTGTCCTAGATTGTTCACTTCTCCAAACTCTTCACCCTTTTGTGCATAACCATGTTAATGAATCAAACTGACCCTAGTCAATGTTTGAAGGAAGAGACATTAGTCTGAACAAAGCAATAGATCAGTATTTGTTTGTAACAGACACTATTACACAGAGGTTGGTAATCAATCATGTCAAACGTCCACAGGTATTACGATAGGAAAATGCTCTTTAGGCTTGCGTGTCCATATGCAATTACATAGTTCAGCATAATTTCAGTAAGGTGATCCATGTATTCTCTTTTCTGCTGGTGTTCTTACCTAAACAGTTTCCGGGATTCCAATGCCTACTGCAAAAACATATTTTTTTCTTATTTGGTAGGATAATTAAAAATTAACTCAAGACAACTATAAAAGACCACAATGTATTGATTAAAAAAAGATTAAAGTGATTTTAATAATAGCCATTATAAGCACCTGGACCTGCCTTTATATTAGTTTTCTATATATCCACTGCACATCAGGAATCAGACAGGGAAAAGGAAGGCCAGTTAGGCTCTGCTGTATCGTTCAGTACTGTAAATGTAATTGATAGTCTACTGATATGAGGAGGAGAGTGCACAAACGTGATGTGATGCTTCTTCATTGTGCAATCAGCAGGCTGGGAGCAAGTCAGTGACCAAGCTATATTGCTTGATTGCAGTAAAGTTCACACCTGAGCATTGTGTTGCTTGTTGCTCCAAACAGTACATGAGCAGAATTGCTCGCGTAGCGCTCACCCTTTGGGGGCTGCTGAATAGAATGGTCCCTTCTAGCCTGTCTAGGGATTACAATAATGTTGCTGCACCAAAAGCACTTACCAATCCTCCAGTGGCGACCGATAAAACTGATGTCCACACAGATGATGCAATGCTGATTAACTGTTATGGCAGAACTTTGGGAGAGATAATTAGGGCACAGAACAACCAAGGTGCAGTAGACTCTAAAAATGATGGAACAAAGTACTCACAGCCTTCACTAAATATATCATCTTTTTGCCAATTGCGTCAATCTGTGTTTTGAGCTGTTGGCTCTGCAATACTAGAGACAAAAGCTACCAGTCCACTTCAGAATAGATCACCATGCTGCAGTGGAGGATCAACTTTTCAGGTCCCCATACCAGCTGAAGTTACTCTCTGTCATCTCCATCCTCAGCTTCACTGACTGAGCCTCAGACCCTGAGCACATGACTTCCCTTCCTAGGCAGCAGGCAGGAGGCCCAGGGGGAGAGAAAGAGAATCCCACATTTTCTGCCCTGAATACTTATGTCCTCCCCCATATGCACCACTGGCCATGAACCTATTAGTGATTGAGCAGGGAGACACAGATACTTATAACACACCATTATTGTTTTTTCTGCTTTGTGGCAAGATTACACCCAGCAGCAGGTAGATGCAAACAAAAACTCAGTGCTTAGGAGAGACCAAATAAGCATAGACTATCAAATCAGAATCAGAGCAGGGATCCCAACCTGAAGAAAGCAATTTCAGGGAGTTGCCCTTCTCATTTCAGGGAGGTGCCCTCTGCCCTCCCCCACTGGGTGGGGGGGGGGGGCAACACCCCCCTGAATGAAATGATGGCAGATAGCACGGGAAGCAATAGCTTCTTTGCCATCTGCTGGGGTTTTAT